CCGGAGAAGACTAGGAGGCCGACATCCATCTCTGCGCCATCCCTCTCCGTGCACAAAGGCCACCCTTCCTCATCGTCCAATGAATCTGAGACTAAATGTGTGGAACAGCTCATGGGCCATGACCTGGGAACAGTGTAAGCAGTGCTAAGTTAGGGCAGCGTCATGCGCAAACCGTTCCTACGTTCCACAAACAAAGACTCGTGAAATAAGGAAGCCACACTTTCCTTCTCTGAGTTGTTTCAGGCTCCTTTTGGAACTCCCCGCCTAACAATCTGCCTTGGATTTATTTATTTATTGATTTCTTGATTTATTTATTTATTATGCAATCGCATATGCCGCCACTCCCCTGGGGCTTGGAGCGGCTTACAAGAGCAGGCTAAAATTGAACACAATTTAAAACAATTTAAAAACAGCAATATCAAAGATCAAAGGCCCGTTGAAACAGGTATGTCTTCCATGCCCTGCGGAACGCTGATAAGTCCCGCAAGGCACGGACTTTGGGTGGCAGAGTATTCCAGAGCGATGGTGCCACTGCTGTGAAGGCCCTGCGCCTGGTTGCTGTTAGACACAAGGTCTTGTCACTGGGGATTTCCAATAGATCTTGGTCCTCAGAGCGGAGGGATCTCTGGGGTTGGTATTTATTTATTTCGGGTACTTCTCAATCTCAAGAGGGGACTCGGGGCAACTTACAAAAAAGGCACAGTTCGATGCCTATACAAATTACACATAATGTACAAAAACCATAGTTAAAACAGTTATCACAGTTAAAACAATCAAAACAATCGGTATATAACACATCATATAAAAACTATTCACAGTTAACCACAACCTTTGGCTTAACCACAACACAACTACTTCCTATGTGAGTTGCTGTTAGACGCAAGGTCTTGACACTGGGAATTTCCAATAGATCTTGGTCCTCAGAACGGAGGGATCTCTGGGGTTGGGAGGGGGTGAGGCGGTCCCTCAGGTACATCGGCCCCAGACCATGCCAGGCCTTCAAGGTGAGTCCCATCCCTTTGCAAATGATCCAGTGCTCAACGGGTAACCAATGCAGCTGCAGGAAGATTGGGGTGATGTGGCATCTCATCGGAATTCCCGCAAGAAGCCGAGCAGCTGCGTTTTGTACCAACTTGAGCTTCCGGATCACCGACAGAGGGAGGCCAATGTAGAGGGCGTTACAGTAGTCCAGTCTTGAGATGACCGTGGCCTGGATCACCGTGGCCAGGTTGTCCCTGGGCAGGGAGGGGCCCAGCCATCTAGCCTGCCGCAGGTGAAAGAAAGAAGGCGGTTCTGCTCACGGTGGAGAGAGACCTGGGCCTCCATCCTCAGCAGAAAGAGGGTCCACAAGGACTCCCAGACTCTTGACCAACTGTGGGGAGAGAATGGCCCCCTGAGGAACCCCACAAGAGAGAGAGAGAGGGGGGACCTTTCAGAGACCAGGTCTCCCCTCTCCACTCGCTGTCCACGGTTGTGAAGGAAGGAGGGGAGCCACTTCAAAGCTCTCCCCCTGACTCCAGCAACAGCAAGGCGGTGCGTCACTGCACACTCTTTCAGCCAGAGAAGTCAGCCATAGCAGAGCACCTGAGGAACCAACCTGGACACAGAAATGCTGGACCACTCTCACAACCACCATGTCAGGCGACACAGAGAAGCCACTGAGATCCACAAGAAGCAGGTGGACAATGTCAACAGAAAGGAGGAAGCCATGATAATGAACACAATCTGGCTACCAGTATTAAAAAAAACCCTCTAAAATTACAACAGCAAAACAACAGGGAGTAAACATTCAGGCACATCTAATCACCTCTCAACAAAAGATTGCTCCAGGCACTGTCAGGCCATTATATGCTAATCAAGGTGGTCAGTTGAAACATTCACACCTATTTATTTGTTTGTTTGTTTGTTTGTTTGTTTACATTATTTATATCCCGCCCATATCAGCCCGCAGGTGACTCAGGGAAGTCTACATATCGGCACAATTCGATGCCATCAATACATACATTCAAAAAGCAAAACAATTAACTGAATATAGACACAAAAAAGACAATTTTAAAAGAGCTCTATCCTCTCGTTCCAATCCTCATCCGTTTCATCGTCTTGGCCGTTCCTGCGTCATTCTCCATCTCAAGCTTGACTATTTATTCCGGGGTTCTGAATGCTTGCTCAAAGAGCCAGGTTTTTACTCTCTTCAGAAAAGTCAGGAGGGAGGGGGAGCTGATCCCTAGGCAGGGAGTTCCACAGCCGAGGGGTCACCACAGAGAAGGCCATAGCTCCAACAGACAAGAGTCCTTTGTCCCACCCTGGTCATTCCACAGATATATAAACCTCTTTTCCTATTTCCAACAGACCTCACTACCTCTGAGGATGCTTTGCCATAGATGCAGGCGAAACGTCAGGAGAGAATGCCTCTAGACCATGGCCATATAGCCCGAAAAAACCTACAACAACCCAGTGATTCCGGCCATGAAAGCCTTCGACAATACATTATTATTATTATTATTTATATATCTGTGGACATGTAATCACCTCTCAACAAAAGATTGCCCCAGGCACTGCCAGGCCACCTAATGCTAATCAAGGTGGTCAGTTGAAACATTCACACCTAGCTCCAGCAGACAAGAGTTCTTTCTCCCACCCTGGTCATTCCACAGATATATAAAACCCTTTTTCCTAGTTCCAGCAGACCTCACTACCTCTGAGGATGCTTGCCATAGATGCAGGTGAAACATCAGGAGAGAATGCCTCTAGACCATGGCCATATAGCCCGAAAAAACAACAACAACCCAGTGATTCCAGCCTTGAAAACCTTCGACAATACATTATTATTATTATTATTATTATTATTATTATTATTATTATTATTATTATATCTGTGGACATGTAATCACCTCTCAACAAAAGATTGCCCCAGGCACTGCCAGGGCACCTAATGCTAATCAAGGTGGTCAGTTGAAACATTCACCCCTAGCTCCAGCAGACAAGAGTCCTTTGTCCCACCCTGGTCATTCCGCAGATATATAAACCCAATTTTCCTAGTTCCAACAAATCTCACTAGCTCTGAGGATGCTTGCCATAGATGCAGGCGAAACGTCAGGAGAGAATGCCTCTAGAACATGGCCATATAGCCCGAAATAACCTACAACAACCAAGTGATTCCGGCCATGAAAGCCTTCGACAATACACGGGAAAAGGATGCAAAAATGGTTGCCGGCGTCCGTGAACCTATTTCTCTCTCCCTCTGAAACCTTCTGCATTTCTTTCAACCTGCAATTCTTTCTTTGGGATGAGACCGGGCCAAGCCCAAAGAGATTGGGCTCGTTCCTAGAACTGGTTTTTCCCGTTTGTTCTCTGTTGGGTTCCTTTCAACATCATGTTACACATTTACGACGCTGTACAAACACAAATGCTCGGCATAACCACAAATTGTGTGTTGCTCAATGGTATTAAAAGGTTGCTATTTTTGTGCTGTCAAGTCATTAGGTTTTTAAATACTCGTGTTACTGTTTACTATTTATTGTTTATGTGATTTATATTAATTGTATTGTATTGATTGTTTTCAGATATTGACAAGCTGGAATGTGTCCAGAGGAGGACGACCAAAATGATAAAAGGTCTGGAGAACAAGCCCTATGAGGAGCGGCTTAAGGAGCTGGGCATGTTTAGCCTGAAGAAGAGAAGGCTGAGAGGAGATATGATGAGGGCCATGGATAAATATGTGAGAGGAAGCCACAGGGAGGAGGGAGCAGATCAAGGGTGTGGAGAACAAGCCCTATGAGGAGCGGCTTAAGGAGCTGGGCATGTTTAGCCTGAAGAAGAGAAGGCTGAGAGGAGATATGATAGCCATGTATAAATATGTGAGAGGAAGCCACAGGGAGGAGGGAGGAGATCAAGGGTGTGGAGAACAAGCCCTATGAGAGCGGCTTAAGGAGCTGGGCATGTTTAGCCTGAAGAAGAGAAGGCTGAGAGGAGATAGATAGCCATGTATAAATATGTGAGAGGAAGCCACAGGGAGGAGGGAGCAAGCTTGTTTTCTGCTTCCCTGGAGACTAGGACGCAGAACAATGGCTTCAAACGACAAGAGAGGAGATTCCATCTGAACATGAGGAAGAACTTCCTGACTGTGAGAGCTGTTCAGCAGTGGAACTCTCTGCCCTGGAGTGTGGTGGAGGCTCCTTCTTTGGAAGCTTTTAAGCAGAGGCTGGATGGCCATCTGTCAGGGGTGCTTTGAATGCAATATTCTTGCTTCTTGGCAGAATGGGGTTGGACTGGATGATGGCCCAGGAAGTCTCTTCCCACTCTAGGATTCTAGGATTTTATTGTGATCTGCTTTGAGTCTCTTTTTCAGAGAGATAATACAAGATACAAATAATAATAATAATAATAATAATAATAATAATAATAATAATAGCAATAATAAATTTAAATGTTCTGACTAGCAGCATGGCTTATTATTATTATTATTATTATTATTATTACTAGCAATAATACATTTAAATGTTCTGGCTCACAGTGTGGCTTATTATTATTATTATTACTAGCAATAATACATTTAAATGTTCTGGCTCACAGCGTGGCTTATTATTATTATTATTATTATTAGCAATAAAATTTTTTAAATGTTCTGGCTAGCAATGTGGCGTATTATTATTATTATTATTATTATTATTATTATTCGCAATAATACATTTAAATGTTCTGGCTAGCTGCGTGGCTTAGTATTATTATTATTATTATTATTATTATTATTATTACTTCTTCCCTGCCTCTCTTTGTAACTCAAGGTGGTGTACAACATAACTAAAAGCACAAAATATGATGTAACTTAGATTAGGGGCTGTATTCTTTTCGTCCAGCTCTGCAGGTATTTCTCAGACTCTGCTGCCACGTGTCTCGGAGTATTTTTTTTATTTAAATGTTTCTTGTTAGCGTGATCTTCCCGGTGTTGACACCCTCCTTCCAGCCCCGGCACCCCTTCTGATTCGAGGACACCAACGTACCTCCTCCACCATGTGCTTGACCTTCTTCTGCTGGCAAAGGACCATGTCGTCGAGGTGCTGGATGCGCTCCCGCAAGCTGGACGTGGCTTCCTCCAGTTCATGTGACCTGGAAACAAGGGGTAGACAGGGACACGGCATGAGAGGGAAGAAGAGAAGTCCCACACAAAGTCACCGGATAACAAGCATGGGCCAACTTTGGCCCTCCGTCCAAGTGTTTTGGATTTCAACTCCCACAATTATTACTGGTTATTCTCTGGCCCTGGAACTCAACAAAAAAGCTCCTGTTTTGTAGCTGGTTTCCTGTGAGGCGGGTGAGACGGTCGTCCTTTGTGAGATTATATATATGATATATGGTTAGGGATCAGCTGGTTTTCCCTGTAATAGGCAGTAGAGCACCTAGAGCTTCGGAGAGCTTCTGTTCAACCATCTCAAAGCTCCCTGCTTGAGTGGTGATGGCACGATCATCAGCATAGATGAAGCTCTCTGTCCCTTCTGGCAGTGGCTGGTCATTTGTGTAGATGTTGAACATGGATGGAGCAAGCACGCTCCCCTGAGGCAGGCCGTTCTTCTGTTTCCGCCATCTGCTTCTCTGGCCCTGGAACTCAACAAAAAAGCTCCTGTTTTGTAGCAGGTTTCCTGTGAGGTGGGTGAGGTGGTCATCCTTTGTGATATTATATATATGATATATGATTAGGGATCAGCTGGTTTTCCCTGTAATAGGCAGTAAGAGCACCTAGAGCTTTGGAGAGCTTCTGTTCTACCATCTCAAAGCTCCCTGCCTGAGCAGTGATGGCACGATCATCAGCATAGATGAAGCTCTCTGTCCCTTCTGGCAGTGGCTGGTCATTTGTGTAGATGTTGAACATGGATGGAGCAAGCACGCTCCCCTGAGGCAGGCCGTTCTTCTGTTTCCGCCATCTGCTTCTCTGGCCTGGAACTCAACAAAAAAGCTCCTGTTTTGTAGCAGGTTTCCTATGAGGCGGGTGAGCTGGTCGTCCTTGGTGATACTATATATTTTTCTCAGGAGGAGGCCGTGGTGGTTCACAGTCTCATAGGCTGCGGACAGGTCTATGAAGACAGCTCCTGTGACCTGCTGCCTTTCAAAGCCATCTTCTATGGGCTGAGTTGGAGTCCAAAACATCTGGAGCAAGGCCCAAAGTTGGCTCACGCCTGCATTAAGTATTTGGTGAAATGTCTCTCTTTTATAATAATAATAATTATTATTATAATAATACTTTATTTATACCCCACTAAGTAGGAAAGAAACCAATAGCCAGACAACCAGAGATTGAGAACAACAACCTTCATGAACCCTTTACATCTACTGAATTGGACATGGCTCTCAACAAATGTAAGAATGGCAAAGCAGCTGGCCTGGATGACCTACGGATGGAACAAATCAAGAACTTTGGCCCAAAAGCAAGGCGCTGGCTGCTGGAGCTGATGAACAACTGCACTGCATCCTGTCAGATCCCCAAAATCTGGAGGAAAGCAAGAGTCATCGCCATCTTGAAGCCAGGCAAAGACCATAATGATCCAAAAAGCTACAGACCAATCTCCCTGTTGTGCCACCTCTACAAAGTTCTGGAGAGACTTATTTTGCATAGAATTATGGAAAAAATAGACCCATGTCTGATCCCACAGCAAGCTGGCTTCAGAAAAGGCAAAAGCTGCACATCGCAAGTGCTGAACCTGACTCAGCACATAGAAGATGGCTTTGAAAGGCAGCAGATCACAGGAGCTGTCTTCATAGACCTGTCAGCAGCTTATGATACTGTGAACCACCACCTCCTCCTGAGAAAAATGTATAATATCACAAAGGACTACCATCTCACCCGCTCATAGGAAACCTGCTACAAAACAGGAGCTTTTTTGTTGAGTTCCAGGGCCAGAGAAGCAGATGGCGGAAACAGAAGAACGGCCTGCCTCAGGGGAGCGTATTATTATTATTATTATTATTATTATTATTATTATTATTATTGCATGCTGGTCGCTTCTGTGGTGAGAAAATCAGCCATCTACGAATATGTTGCCCAGGGGACGTCCGGATGTCTTGCAATCCTGCGAGGAGGCTTCTCTCATGTCCCACTGGGAGTCACCCTGGACCGTGCTCTGACCTACAAGAAGCACTGCCTGAACATCAAGGAAAAAGTGGGCGCTAGAAACAATATCATACGAAAGCTGACTGGCACAACCTGGGGATCACAACCAGACACAGTGAAGACATCTGCCCTTGCGCTATGCTACTCTGCTGCTGAGTACGCATGCCCAGTGTGGAACACATCTCACCACGCTAAAACAGTGGATGTGGCTCTTAATGAGACATGCCGCATTATCACGGGGTGTCTGCGCCCTACACCACTGGAGAAATTACACTGCTTAGCCGGTATCGCACCACCTGACATCCATCTGGGCTTTGATGGTGCTTTTCCTGCCTCAAGGCAGAAGGGGGTTGGACTGGATGTCCTTTGGGGGGTCCCTTCCAACATCTATGATTCTATGGTTCTAGGACCTTACCTCCGCCTGCGTGGCTGGCTGGAAAGACTTGCTCCATGGAGCTGTAGTTCATACTCTATGAGTTGTTTCTGCAGGTGATGACGTTCCTGAATGAAACACACACGAAAGGTAGTTAGTGTTCAGCTACAAAACATGCACATGTCAATCCCCTTCTTCCCCTCTGCATCAGGAAATCAGTGCAGGGCAAAGAGAGTGACTCCGGTCCCACCAATTCAATGGTCTCAGGGCAATCCACTCCTTTGGCTTCTCCTGCTTTTGAAATGTATGACCATTGCCCCAGAGAATCCTAGAATCCTAGAGTTGGAAGAGACCTCGTGAGCCATCTAGTCCAACCCCATTCTGCCAAGAAGCAGGAATATTGCATTCAAATCACCCCTGACAGATGGCCATCCAGCCTCTGTTTCAAAGCTTCCAAAGAAGGAGCCTCCACCACACTTTGGGGCAGAGAGTTCCACTGCTGAACGGCTCTCACAGTCAGGAAGTTATAGAATCCTAGAGTTGGAAGAGACTTCCTGGGCCATCATCCAGTCTAACCCCATTCTGCCAAGAAGCAGGAATATTGCATTCAAATCACCCCTGACAGATGGCCAACTCTCTGTTTCAAAGCTTCCAAAGAAGGAGCCTCCACCACACTCCGGGGCAGAGAGTTCCACTGCTGAACGGCTCTCACAGTCAGGAAGTTATAGAATCCTAGAGTTGGAAGAGACCTCCTGGGCTATCATCCAGTCCACCCCCATTCTGCCAAGAAGCAGGAATATTGCATTCAAAGCACCCCTGACAGATGGCCTCCAGCCTCTGCTTCAAAGCTTCCAAAGAAGGAGCCTCCACCACACTTTGGGGCAGAGAGTTCCACTGCTGAACGGCTCTCACAGTCAGGAAGTTATAGAATCCTAGAGTTGGAAGAGACCTCCTGGGCTATCGTCCAGTCCAACCCCATTCTGCCAAGAAGCAGGAATATTGCATTCAAATCACCCCTGACAGATGGCCATCCAGCCTCTGCTTCAAGCCTCCACCACACTCCCTCCGGGGCAAACTCCAACCATCACCCAAAAGTCCAAAAAGGAAGCCCCATGAAAGCCTTGGCAGACCGTGCAAAAAGAATATGGGAAGCCCACCTCCTCCAAGATGGACTGAACCACCTCAACTGGGCTCTCCAGGCCAATGGAGACTCCACCTCAGACATCAGAAGAGATGCAAGACCACCGAGAAGAAGCCACGAGAGTCAAGACAAAGACCACCCAGAGGGAAAGTGTTCTTGCCAGACATCAAGGGAACCACTGACCGCAGAGGGAAACTGAGGAGGAAACACAACAGACAAACTATCTCCAGACCCACCAAGAACATCCAACCAATGCTCCGTTCAGCAAAGGACAAGAGGGATCCTCTCACCTCTGCAGGAGTCTACCATTGTATCCCATGCAGCTGTGGACAAGTCTCCAGAGGGACCACCAAACGCAGCAGCATTGCCCAGACACGCATCAAGGAACATGGAAGGCACTGCAGACTCCTTCAACCAGAGAAGTCAGCCATAGCAGAGCACCTGATGAAACCCTGGACACAGCATATTATTTGAGAACACAGAAATGCTGGACCACTCTCACAACCACCATGTCAGATTACACAGAGAAGCCATTGAAATCCACAAGAAGCATGTGGACAATCTCAACAGAAAGGAAGAAACCATGAAAATGAACAAAATCTGGCTACCATTAGTATGGTAGTTCTGATCTTAGAACTATTTTTTTTTTGTCGTGTCAGGAGCAAACGCTCCTGTTGTGAGAGAATTGGCCATCTGCAAGGACGTTGCCCAGGGGACGCCTGGATGATTTTGTTTTGTCATCCTTGTGGGAGGCTTCTCTCATGTCCCCGCATGAGGAGCTGGAGATAATAGAGGGAGCTCATCCACCTGCGACGTGTCTCTCTTCAGTCCTGCCGGCACAGGGGATTAACCCACTGCGCCACCGGGGGCTCCTACTCTAAAATTACAACAGCACAACAACAGAGAGGAAACAAACAAGGACATCCAATCACCTCTAAACAAAAGATTGCTCCAGGCACTGCCAGGCCATTATATGCTAATCAAGGTGGTCAGTTGAAACATTCACCCCTAGCTCCAACACACAAGAGTCCTTTGTCCCACCCTGGTCATCATTCCACAGATATATAAACCCTTTTTCCTAGTTCCAACAGACCTCACTACCTCTGAGGATGCTTGCCATAGATGCAGGCGAAATGTCAGGAGAGAATGCCTCTAGACCATGGCCATACAGCAAAAACCTCACTACCTCTGAGGATGCTTGCCATAGATGCAGGCAAAACGTCAGGAGAGAATGCCTCTAGACCATGGCCATATAGCCCAAAAAAAACTACAACAACCCAGTGATTCCGGCCATGAAAGCCTTCGACAATACAATAATAATAAGACCATAGGATTCTAGAGTCAGAAGAGACCCTCAAGGGCCATCTTGTCCAACCCACTTCTGAAGACACAATCCTTTGTCCCACCTGGACATCATTCCACAGATATATATAAACCCTTTTTCCTAGTTCCAACAGACCTCACTACCTCTGAGGATGCTTGCCATAGATGCAGGCGAAACGTCAGGAGAGAATGCTAGAGGCACTGCCAGGCCATCAAATGCTAATCAAGGTGGTCAGTTGAAACATTCACACCTAGCTCCAGCAGACAAGAGTCCTTTGTCCCACCCTGGTCATTCCACAGATATATAAACCCATTTTCCTAGTTCCAACAGACCTCACTACCTCTGAGGATGCTTGCCATAGATGCAGGCGAAACGTCAGGAGAGAATGCTAGAGGCACTGCCAGGCCAGAGAATGCTAGAGGCACTGCCAGGCCATCAAATGCTAATCAAGGTGGTCAGTTGAAACATTCACACCTAGCTCCAGCAGAAAAGAGTCCTTTGTCCCACCCTGGTCTTTCCACAGATATATAAACCCCCTTTCCTACTTCCAACAGACCTCACTACCTCTGAGGATGCTTGCCATAGATGCAGGCGAAACGTCAGGAGAAAATGCCTCTAGACCATGGCCATATAGCCCAAAAAAACCTACAACAACCCATTCCCACCTAGCTCCATCAGACAAGAGTCCTTTGTCCCACCCTGGTCATTCCACAGATATATACACCCCTTTTTCCTAGTTCCAACAGACCTCACTCCCTCTGAAGATGCTTGCCATAGATGCAGGCGAAACGTCAGGAGAGAATGCCTCCAGGACATGGCCATATAGCCCAGAAAAACCTATAACAACCCAGTGATTCCGGCCATGAAATCCTTCGACAATAGATTGAACATTACGTTTTTATGTATATAGATCGCCTCCCCTTACGGTTCAAGGTGGGACACCACCTAGCTTAAAATGCATCCATAAAAGCACATATTAAAACATACAGATATTAAAACGCACGAAACACAAGTTAAAACACCCTCTCACGTAGGCACTGACTAATCACCGCCTCTTCCGCTAAAGCAAATTACCTCCCTTGTGTTAACTACCACTGCGAGGATTGCGATATTAATTAAAGCCCTTGCCTGGCGATCTCGGGATTAGAAAACTGGTCTTCAAACACTCAGGAAATCCGAATTACCCACAAGAGAGCCTTTCTTGGGCAACGCTTCCTGTCGTTGAACAGCAGCCTGAGGATGCAACTCAGTCAAAGGGATGGAATGAAAAGGGCTGGAAGGATCCGGGGAGGCCTCTGACCCTCAATGTTGACAGACGGAGATTATCTTAATGTAACACAGTGTGCTCATTTCGATGTGGAAGGCAGATCATGTATTGGTAGGTCTTTATGTTACTTGTTTAGAGTCACCTTGAGCGTGTGTGATACTCAAAAGGGATGTGTTATTGCCCCAACTTTATTCTCCATCTTCATTGCTATGATGTGAACCACCATTGCCTCCTCCTGAAAAAAATGTATACTATCACAAAGGACGACCACCTCACCTGCTTCATAGGAAATCTGCTACAAAACAGGAGCTTTTTGTTGAATTCCAGGACCAGAGAAGCAGATGGCGAAAACAGAAGAACGGCCTGCCTGATTATACATCGCTATCATATCTCCTCTCAGCCTTCTCTTCTTCAGGCTAAACATGCCCAGCTCCTAAGCTGCTCCTCATAGGGCTTGTTCTCCAGACCCTGGATCATTTGAGTCTTCCTCTCACATATTTATACATGGCTATCATATCTCCTCTCAGCCTTCTCTCCTTCAGGCTAAACATGCCCAGTTCCCTAAGCCGCTCCTCATAGGGCTTGTTCTCCAGACCCTTGATCATCTCTCTCCTCCTCCCTGTGGCTTCCTCTAACATATTTATACATGGCTATCATATCTCCTCTCAGCCTTCTCTTCTTCAGGCTAAACATGCCCAGCTCCTTAAGCCGCTCCTCATAGGGCTTGTCTCCAGAGGAAGCAGAAAACAAGCTTGCTCCCTCCTCCTCCCTGTGGCTTCCTCTCACATATGTGATACATGGCTATCATATCTCCTCTCAGCCTTCTCTTCTTCAGGCTAAACATGCCCAGCTCCTTAAGCCGCTCCTCATAGGGCTTGTTCTCCAGACCCTTGATCTGCTCTCTCCTCCCTCCTCCCTGTGGCTTCCTCTCACATATTTATACATGGCTCTCATCATATCTCCTCTCAGCCTTCTCTTCTTCAGGCTAAACATGCCCAGTTCCCTAAGCCGCTCCTCATAGGGCTTGTTCTCCAGACCCTTGATCTGCTCTCTCCTCCCTCCTCCCTGTGGCTTCCTCTCACATATTTATACATGGCTCTCATCATATCTCCTCTCAGCCTTCTCTTCTTCAGGCTAAACATGCCCAGCTCCTTAAGCCGCTCCTCATAGGGCTTGTTCTCCAGACCCTTGATCATTTTAGTCGCCCTCCTCTGGACACATTCCAGCTTAGAGTCAATATCTCTCTTGAATTGTGGTGCCCAGAATTGGACACAATGTGATTCCAGGTAAAGTGGTCTAACCAAAGCGGAGTAGAGCATGGGGAGCAGGACTTCCCTGGATCTAGACACTAGGCTCCTATTGATGCCTGAGGCCAAAATCCCATTGGCTTTCTTTGCCGCCACATCACATTCCTGGCTCATGTTCACCTTCCTTTCCACAAGGACTCCAAGATCTTTTTCACACATCCTGCTCTCGAGCCAGGCCTCATCGTCCCCCATTCTGTCTCTTTGCATTTCGTTTTTCCTGCCTAAGTGGAGTATCTTGCATTTGTCCCTGTTGAACTTCCTTTTGTGAGTTTTGGCCATTCATCTCTCTCATCTGTCAAGGACTCCAAGATCTTTTTCACACGTCCTGCTCTCGAGCCAGGCCTCATTGTCCCCCATTCTGTCTCTTTGCATTTCGTTTTTCCTGCCTAAGTGGAGTCTCTTGCATTTGTCACTGTTGAACTTCATTGTGTGAGTTTTGGCCCTTCATCTCTCTAATCTGTCAAGATCCCTTTGAGTCCTGCTCCTGTCCTCTGGAGTCTTGGCTCTCCCTCCCCATTTGGTGTCGTCTCCAAACTTGATGATCCTGCCTTCTCACCCTTCATCGAAGTCAGTGGTTCTCAACCTGGGGTCCCCAGATGTTTTTGGCCTCCAACTCCCAGAAATCCTAGCCAGTTTACCAGTTGTTAGGATTTCTGGGAGTTGGAGGCCAAAAACATCTGGGGACCCCAGTTGAAAACCATTGATCTAAGTCATGAATGAAGATCCTGAGCAGGACCGGGCCCAGGGGGGAACCCTGCTTGTGGCCCTCCGCTCGTCCCTTCTTTCCAGGATGAAGAGGAGGAAGCCTTGGGGAGAATCACCCTCTGGGTTCCTCCATTTCACCAATTCTGGCTAAAAACCCACAGAGGCATGGAAACTATATTAAAGTAAAAAATCCCTTTAAAACCAAAACTTTTCCTAATGGGAATAAAAAAAAAAGAAACCAAAAGAAGATGGGGCAACCTTGGAAAGTGATTTTGTTTGGATGGGGAGGATCAAGTTTCTCCTCCTGCACAAGCAAGGTGTTTCTAGAAGAGAAAGACTCCTGAAACGGGAAGGACTGGGTTTCACTCACTGGGAGCAAAGTCCATGAAAAGGAAGGGCAGAGCAGGGCCAGGCACGAGGAAAGGCCGAGGCCGGAGGAATCTGCCACAACTGGTTCAGCAACAGGGCCACCACCACGAGACATCCGGGCAGTGCCTCTGTCGTGCTGGTTGTGGGATGAAGGCTCACATATTTGAAAAACGCATGATCACGGGGTGCCTGCGCCCTACACCACGGGAGAAATTACGCTGCTTAGCCGGTATTGCCCCACCTGACATCCACCGGGAAGGAGCAGCCAATAGTGAAAGGACCAAGGCAGAGACATCTCCAGCTCATCCCTTGTTTGGGTATCAGCCAGCACGTCAACAACTTAAATCAAGAAATAGTTTTCTAAGATCTACAGAGACACTTGCTGGAACACCTCAGCAAGCGAGAGTACAAAAGTGGCAGGCTAGAAATCTCACCATGCTAAAACAGTGGATGTGGCTCTTAATGAGACATGCTGCATTATCACGGGGTGTCTGCGCCCTACACCACTGGAGAAATTACACTGCTTAGCCAGTATTGCACCACCTGACATCCGCTGGGAAGTAGCAGCCAATAGTGAAAGGACCAAGGCAGAGACATCTCCAGCTCATCCCTGTTTGGGTATCAGCCAGCACGTCAACGACTTACATCAAGAAATAGCTTTCTAAGATCTACAGAGACACTTGCTGGAACACCTCAGCAAGCGAGAGTACAAAAGTGGCAGGCTAGAAATCTCACCATGCTAAAACAGTGGATGTGGCTCTTAATGAGACATGCTGCATTATCACGGGGTGTCTGCGCCCTACACCACGGGAGAAATTACACTGCTTAGCCAGTATTGCACCACCTGACATCCGCTGGGAAGTAGCAGCCAATAGTGAAAGGACCAAGGCAGAGACATCTCCAGCTCATCCCTGTTTGGGTATCAGCCAGCACGTCAACGACTTACATCAAGAAATAGCTTTCTAAGATCTACAGAGACACTCGCTGGAACACCTCAGCAAGCGAGAGTACAAAAGTGGCAGGCTAGAAATCTCACCATGCTAAAACAGTGGATGTGGCTCTTAATGAGACATGCTGCATTATCACGGGGTGTCTGCGCCCTACACCACTGGAGAAATTACACTGCTTAGCCGTATTGCACCACCTGACATCCGCCAGGAAGTAGCAGGCAATAGTGAAAGGACCAAGGCAGAGACATCTCCAGCTCATCCCCTGTTTGGGTATCAGCCAGCACGTCAACGACTTAAATCTAGAAATAGTTTTCTAAGATCTACAGAGACACTCGCCGGAACACCTCAGCAAGCGAGAGTCCAAAAGTGGCAGGCTCAAACCCAGGCCGGATACCAAATGAGAGATTCCCCCCTGGGCACACAACAACAACAACAATTCTTTATTGATTAGTCAATTTTGACCATATCAAAACATGCAAAACATACACATACAGTAAAACCACATATGAACACAAGGCATCATGGCCTACTGGCCTGTCGACCCACTCCCAAATAATTGAGCAACTACAAGACAAAGAGGCTAAAAGATTAAAACTTGATTAATTCCTTAAAATAGGGTTAGGGTGGGGGGCATGGGTAGGTAAAACTAGTGGCGTGTCCATATTAAGTTTTTAAGTTTGAGTTTTGTTGATGGCAGCAAGGTCGCCTCTCTCTGCTTCCATCTTCTCACGGATGGCCAGCGCTTTTTGGGTAAAAAGGGTCAATTTTAAAATAGAGTTTTTATCTGAACCCTGAAGAAGGATGCGCAATTTCTCCTTATTTTCTGAATAAGTATGGTTCTCCAGCAGAGGCTCTAGGTAGTAAGACCGGATCCTGTTGTAGTAGGGACATTTTAAGAAAAAATGTTCTGAGTCCTCCACTTCTGCATCTACCTCACGGCACCCACAGGTTCTCATCGTGTAGGGGATATTCTGATGTCGTCCCAACTTGGACTTAATGTCGAGCTGCTCGAATCTAGCCCGGGTAAAAACTTTTCTAAGATAGAGTGGAAGTATAAAAGAGAGGTAAGGTTCCATGCCCACATTACATTTAATCTAGACATAGTTTTCTAAGATCTACAGAGACACTTGCTGGAACACCTCAGCAAGCGAGAGTACAAAAGTGGCAGGCTAGAAATCTCACCATGCTAAAACAGTGGATGTGGCTCTTAATGAGACATGCCGCATTATCACGGGGTGTCTGCGCCCTACACCACTGGAGAAATTACACTGCTTAGCCGGTATCGCACCACCTGACATCTGCCGGGAAGTAGCAGCCAATAGTGAAAGGACCAAGGCAGAGACATCTCCAGCTCATCCCTGTTTGGGTATCAGCCAGCACGTCAACGACTTACATCAAGAAATAGCTTTCTAAGATCTACAGAGACACTCGCTGGAACACCTCAGCAAGCGAGAGTACAAAAGTGGCAGGCTAGAAATCTCACCATGCTAAAACAGTGGATGTGGCTCTTAATGAGACATGCTGCATTATCACGGGGTGTCTGCGCCCTACACCACTGGAGAAATTACACTGCTTAGCCAGTATTGCACCACCTGACATCCGCTGGGAAGTAGCAGCCAATAGTGAAAGGACCAAGGCAGAGACATCTCCAGCTCATCCCCTGTTTGGGTATCAGCCAGCACGTCAACGACTTAAATCTAGACATAGTTTTCTAAGATCTACAGAGACACTCGCCAGAACACCTCAGCAAGTGAGAGTCCAAAAGTGGCAGGCTCAAACCCAGGACGGATACCAAATGAGAGATTCCCCCCTGGGCACACAGAAGACGGGGCGACTTGGAAGGCGCTGAACAGACTGCACTCGGGCACCACGAGATGCAGAGCCAACCTCAAGAAATGGGGCCACAAAGTGGAATCCACGACATGCGAGTGCGGGAATTAAACCAAACCTGCTGCAATGCACCCTGAGCCCTTCTGCCACATGATGCACAAGGAAGGACCTTCTTGCGGCCACACCAGAGGCACTCCAAAGGGCCAGAGACTGGTCAAAGGACATTTAATCCACTACCAAGCTTGCAAACTCTGTGTTTTTTTTTTAATCTCTTTGTTTGTTTTGTTCTGTTAGAAATGTAATAAAATGGTCTGGTTGCTGATGACACGATAAATAAATAAATAAATAAATAGCTGCCCTGAAACCCTTGATGGCAAGGTGGGCATGGAGTCTTTGGCCCCAGCCAGCAAAACACACCGGACACCCTTACCTCTTCCATGCGTTGAATGAACTGATCCAGCTCGCCTATTCGTTGGTCTTTTTCTTGCAAACTGGTTTCTGAGAGTTTCATACTCCGGTTTGCATCTTCAATCGCTGAAAGAAGTCTGTTGGTTTCAGCCTTCCAAGAAACAATTAAAAAACCACTATTAGAATCTGTATTGTCGAAGGCTTTCGTGGCCAGAATCACTGGGTTGTTGTAGGTTTTTTTGGGCTATATGGCCATGTTCTAGAGGCATTCCCTCCTGACATTTCGCCTGCATCTATGGCAAGCATCCTCAGAGGGAGTGAGGTCTCTTGGAAGTAGGAAAAGGGGTTTATATATCTGTGGAATGACCAGGGTGGGACAAGGGACTCTTGTCTGATGGAGCTAGGGGTGAATGTTTCAACTGTCCCCCTTGATTGGCAATTTTTTGTTGAGAGGAGATTAGATGTCCCAGATTGTTTCCCTTCTGTTGTTTTGCTGTTGTAATTTTAGTGTTTTTTTTAATACTGGTAGCCAGATTTTGTTCATTTTCATGGTTTCTTCCTTTCCGTTGAAATTGTCCACATGCTTGTATATTTCAATGACTTCTCTGTGTAGCCTGACATGGTGGTTGTGAGAGTGGTCCAGCATTTCTGTGTTCTCAAATAAAATGCTGTGTCCAGGTTGGTTCATCAGGTGCTCTACTATGGCTGACTTCTCTGGTTGAAGTAGTCTGCAGTGCCTTTCATGTTCCTTCAACCAGAGAAGTCTGCCAGAGCAGAGCACCTGAGGAACCAACCTGGACACAGCAGATTATTTGAGAACACAGACATGCTGGACCACTCTCACAACCACCATATCAGACAACATGTGGACAATTTCAACAGAAAGGACCAAGGCAGAGACATCTCCAGCTCATCCCCTGTTTGGGTATCAGCCAGCACGTCAATGACTTAAATCAAGAAATAGTTTTCTAAGATCTACAGAGACACTCGCTGGAACATCTCAGCAAGCAAGAGTCCAAAAGTGGCAGGCTCAAACCCAGAACCTCAATCCCCCCTGGGCACACAGAAAACTGGGCGACTTGGAAAGCGCTGAACAGACTGTGCTCTGGCACCACGAGATGCAGAGCCAACCTCAAGAAATGGGGCCCACGACATGCGAGTGCGGAGAAGAGCAAACCACTGACCACCTGCTGCAATGCAACCTGAGCCCTGCCACATGCACAAGGGAGGACCTTCTTGCAGCAACACCAGAAGCACTCCAAGGGGCCAGATACTGGTCAAAGGACATTTAATCAACTACCAAACTCACAAATTTTGTATTTTGTCTGTTTGTTTGCTTTGTTCTGTTAGAAATGTAATATAATTGACTGGTTGCCCTGACACGACAAATAAATAAATATGGGTAGCATAGATCCCTGTAGTTCCAGTCCCAGGAGATGGAAAGCTTGCTGCAATAAGAGTTGACTCAGAACCCAACTCGGAACCCAACCCAGAAGGAGCTCCTTGCGTACAATGAGGGTTTCTTTCTCCAGCTGATGCTTCTTCTCTTCCTCCCGGAGCTTTTCCTCGTATTGACTGTACAGCTTCCGGGTCATCTCTCTCATGACGTCTGCGTTGGCCTCTTGAGAACATTCCACCTGCAGAAAGAAGGAAGAGGAGCAAAACAGGCGTAAGACGGGAAGCACATTTGAGCACCGATTACAAAGGGCAATGCCCTTCAGATGAGACGTCGAATACATTCCATTAAGCTCCAGCTCACCATACATTTTAAGAACAAGACAAGGGCTGCTGTGGCTTTTAGTTTTGAATATATTTTCATGGTTTTAACTAAATTGCTTTCATAGAATCATAGAATCGTAGAGTTGGAAGAGACCTCCTGGGCCATCATCCAGTCCAACCCCATTCTGCCAAGAAGCAGGAATATTGCATTCAAAGCACCCTGACAGATGGCCATACAGCCTCTGTTTCAAAGCCTCCAAAGAAGGAGCTTCCTTCTGGAGCAGAATCATAGAATCCTAGAGTTGGAAGAGACCTCCTGGGCCATCCATCCAGTCCAACCCCATTCTGCCCAGAAGCAGGAATATTGCATTCAAAGCACCCCTGACAGATGGCCATCCAGCCTCTGCTTAATAATAATAATAATAATAATAATAATAGAATCCTAGAGTGGGAAGAGACCTCCTGGGCCATCATCCAGTCCAGCCCCATTCTGCCAAGAAGCAGGAATATTGCATTCAAAGCACCCCTGACAGATGGCCATACAGCCTCTGCTTAATAATAATAATAATAATAATAATAATAATAATAATAGAATCCTAGAGTGGGAAGAGACCTCCTGGGCCATCATCCAGTCCAGCCCCATTCTGCCAAGAAGCAGGAATATTGCATTCAAAGCACCCCTGACAGATGGCCATACAGCCTCTGCTTAATAATAATAATAATAATAATAATAATAATAATAGAATCCTAGAGTGGGAAGAGACCTCCTGGGCCATCATCCAGTCCAGCCCCATTCTGCCAAGAAGCAGGAATATTGCATTCAAAGCACCCCTGACAGATGGCCATCAGCCTCTGCTTAATAATACGCATCCTAGAATTATAGAATCCTAGAGTGGGAAGAGACCTCCTGGGCCATCATCCAGTCCAACCCCATTCTGCCAAGAAGCAGGAATATTGCATTCAAAGCACCCCTGACAGATGGCCATACAGCCTCTGCTTAATAATAATAATAATAATAATAATAATAATAAATAATAGAATCCTAGAGTGGGAAGAGACCTCCTGGGCCATCATCCAGTCCAACCCCATTCTGCCAAGAAGCAGGAATATTGCATTCAAAGCACCCCTGACAGATGGCCATCCAGCCTCTGCTTCAAAGCTTCCAAAGAAGGAGCCTCCACCACACTCTGGGGCAGAGAGTTCCACTGCTGAACATAGAATCCTAGAGTTGGAAGAGACCTCCTGGGCCATCCAGTCCAACCCCATTCTGCCAAGAAGCAGGAATATTGCATTCAAAGCACCCCTGACAGATGGCCATCCAGCCTCTGTTTAAGTTTCCAATAATAATAATAATAATAATAATAATAATAATAGAATCCTAGAGTGGGAAGAGACCTCCTGGGCCGTCATCCAGTCCATCCCCATTCTGCCAAGAAGCAGGAATATTGCATTCAAAGCACCCCTGACAGATGGCCATCCAGCCTCTGCTTAATAATAATAATAATAATAATAATAATAATAATAATAATAGAATCCTAGAGTGGGAAGAGACCTCCTGGGCCATCATCCAGTCCAGCCCCATTCTGCCAAGAAGCAGGAATATTGCATTCAAAGCACCCCTGACAGATGGCCATCCAGCCTCTGCTTAATAATAATAATAATAATAATAATAGAATCCTAGAGTGGGAAGAGACCTCCTGGGCCATCATCCAGTCCAACCCCATTCTGCCAAGAAGCAGGAATATTGCATTCAAAGCACCCCTGACAGATGGCCATACAGCCTCTGCTTAATAATAATAATAATAATAATAATAATAATAATAATAATAGAATCCTAGAGTGGGAAGAGACCTCCTGGGCCATCATCCAGTCCACCCCATTCTGCCAAGAAGCAGGAATATTGCATTCAAATCACCCCTGACAGATGGCCATCCAGCCTCTGCTTAATAATAATAATAATAATAATAATAGAATCCTAGAGTGGGAAGAGACCTCCTGGGCCATCATCCAGTCCAACCCCATTCTGCCAAGAAGCAGGAATATTGCATTCAAAGCACCCCTGACAGATGGCCATCCAGCCTCTGCTTAATAATAATAATAATAATAATAATAATAATAATAATAATAGAATCCTAGAGTGGGAAGAGACCTCCTGGGCCATCATCCAGTCCAACCCCATTCTGCCAAGAAGCAGGAATATTGCATTCAAAGCACCCCTGACAGATGGCCATCCAGCCTCTGCTTAATAATAATAATAATAATAATAATAGAATCCTAGAGTTGGGAGAGACCTCCTGGGCCATCATCCAGTCCAACCCCATTCTGCCAAGAAGCAGGAATATTGCATTCAAAGCACCCCTGACAGATGCCCATCCAGCCTCTGCTTAACAACAACGCTTTGGAATAGAATCATAGAATCATAGAGTTGGAAGAGACCTCCTGGGCCATCATCCAGTCCAACCCCATTCTGCCAAGAAGCAGGAATATTGCATTCAAAGCACCCCTGACAGATGGCCATTCAGCCTCTGTTTAATGGCACTGCTCCAAATTTCAATAATAATAATAATAATAATAGGATCCTAGATTTGGAAGGGGTCCCCAAAGGCCATCCAGTCCAACCCCTTTCTGTCAGGATGGAAAGGCACAATCAAAGTACCCCCAACAGATGGCCATCTAGCCTCTGCTTAATAATAATAATATAATAGTAATAGTAATAGTAATAATAGGATCCTAGAGTTGGGAAGAGACCTCCTGGGCCATCATCCAGTCCAACCCCATTCTGCCAAGAAGCAGGAATATTGCATTCAAAGCACCCCTGACAGATGGCCATCCAGCCTCTGCTTAATATAATAATAATAATAATAATAATAATAGAATCCTAGAGTTGGAAGAGACCTCCTGGGCCATCATCCAGTCCAACCCCATTCTGCCAAGAAGCAGGAATATTGCATTCAAAGCACCCCTGACAGATGGCCATCCAGCCTCTGCTTAATAATAATAATAATAATAATAATAATAATAATAGAATCCTAGAGTTGGAAGAGACCTCCTGGGCCATCATCCAGTCCAACCCCATTCTGCCAAGAAGCAGGAATATTGCATTCAAAGCACCCCTGACAGATGGTCATCCAGCCTCTGTTTAAAAGCTTCCAAAGAATGAGCCTCTAAGAATCCTAGAATCAAAGAGTGGGAAGAGACCTCCTGGACATCATCCAGTCCAACCCCATTCTGCCAAGAAGCAGGATATTGCATTCAAAGCACCCCTGACAGATGGCCATCCAGCCTCTGCTTAATAATAATAATAATAATAATAATAATAATAATAGAATCCTAGAGTGGGAAGAGACCTCCTGGGCCTTCATCCAGTCCAACCCCATTCTGCCAAGAAGCAGGAATATTGCATTCAAAGCACCCCTGACAGATGGCCATCCAGCCTCTGCTTAATAATAATAATAATAATAATAATAATAGAATCCTAGATGGAAGAGACCTCCTGGGCCCTCATCCAGTCCAACCCCATTCTGCCAAGAAGCAGGAATATTGCATTCAAAGCACCCCTGACAGATGGCCATCCAGCCTCTGCTTAATAATAATAATAATAATAATAATAATAATAATAGAATCCTAGAGTGGGAAGAGACCTCCTGGGCCATCATCCAGTCCAGCCCCATTCTGCCAAGAAGCAGGAATATTGCATTCAAAGCACCCCTGACAGATGGCCATACAGCCTCTGCTTAATAATAATAATAATAATAATAATAATAATAATAATCAAGAATCAAAGAGTTGGAAGAGACCTCATGGGCCATCCAGTCCAACCCCCTGCCAAGAAGCAGGAATATTGCATTCAAATCACCCCTGACAAATGGCCATACAGCCTCTGCTTAAAAGCTTCCAAAGAAGGAATCATAGAATCATAGAATCAAAGAGTTGGAAGAGACCACATGGGCCATCCAGTCCAACCCCATTCTGCCAAAAAGCAGGAATATTGCATTCAAATCACCCCTGACAGATGGCCATCCAGCCTCTGTTTAAAAGCTTCCAAAGAAGGAGCCTCCACCACACTCTGGGGCAGAGAGTTCCACTGCTGAATCTCACAGTTGGAAGAGACCTCCTGGGCCATCATCCAGTCCAACCCCATTCTGCCAAGAAGCAGGAATATTGCATTCAAAGCACCCCGACAGATGGCCATCCAGCCTCTGCTTAATATAATAATATAATAATAATAAATAATAAAAAGAGATGGAAGAGACCTCATGGGCCATCCAGTCCAACCCCATCCTGCCAAGAAGCAGGAATTGCATTCAAAGCACCCCCAACAGATGGCCATCCAGCGTCTGTTTAAAAACTTAGAATCATAGAATCTTAGAATCCAAGAGTTGGAAGAGACCTCCTGGGCCATCATCCAGTCCAACCCCATTCTGCCAAGAAGCAGGAATATTGCATTCAAAGCACCCCTGACAGATGGCCATCCAGCCTCTGCTTAATAATAATAATAATAATACATAGAATCATAGAATCAAAAGAGTTGGAAGAGACCTCATGGGCCATCCAGTCCAACCCCATTCTGCCAAGAAGCAGAAATATTGCATTCAAATCACCCCTGACAGATGGCCATCCAGCCCAGAAAAACCTATAACAACCCAATAATAATAATAGAATCCTAGAGTTGGAAGAGACCTTGTGTGCCATCCATTCCAACCCCATTCTGCCAAGATGCAGGAAAATTGCATTCAAAGCACCCCCAACAGATGACCATCCAGCTCTGCTTAATAATAATAATAATAATAATAATAATAATAATAGAGTTGGAAGAGACCTCCTGGGCCATCATCCAGTCCAACCCCATTCTGCCAAGAAGCAGGAATACTGCATTCAAAGCACCCCCGACAGATGGCCATCCAGCCTCTGCTTAAAT